ACTATTCCCAGTTATATGGCCGTTTGACCTTTGACCTTTCGAGTCAGCTTGAATCTCAACCTCTCATTTAAAAGTAGATTGTCTTAGCTTTCCAAATACGTTATTTTCGGGTTCCTCTGACCAACGGTTTCCGAGTTGTAGTCGTTTGAATTCGACTCATCAAATGGCCATCTAGCGGCAACTTTGGCAGTGACTTTTGGCCAAACTATGGGTCGGAGGTGACTGTGCGATCCCTCTTTGCACTTCCCTAGGGACCCCCTACAACAATTACTTTTCAGGTTTCGAATCCCAGACGGTCGATTTTTCCTCCCCTACTACTTTAACTACATTGAAAGGAAAAGGGACCGGAAATCCCGTATTGCACGGGCAAAAAAAAAGAGAAGGCACACTGGGCGAAAAAGGCTCGTACTTTTCCGGAAGAAGGAATTATCGGGTCTGGAATCGACACCGATCCTCATCTGGACCCGCTGTTGCAGCGCGCATATGTGACAGCATCGGCAAAAGGGGAGAAAGAGGCGAAAATCCGACGATCAAACGCAATCACTGGTAGAGACGGCCCTACCACAATCCTATGACGCATTCTGTGCAGCAAGCTGGACAGAGTTCGTGATGACAGACGTGGATTTTGTGCTTGTTGCACCCGATATTGCCTGATAACCAGCTGGCTGGATTGTTGATGTCGAGCAATCTGGACAGGTGTCATTGGGTTAATCGCCCTAATTTCCAGTCAATGGGATAAGTGAGGCAAAGTCCCCTACATCACATAATTGAATATAGCAAGAAATCCAATCCGCCTTTTTCAACCAAATTAGCTCAGTGTCCGGCCTCAAAACGTGAGACAGGGTTTGCATTTTTCTCTGGAATGGCATATATATCCCAAAAACCATGAATTTCAAGACAGGCGAGGGGCCAGACTTCAGACGGATAAGGGGGTCAGAATTTGTCTCACCCGATGCGCTAAAAGGCGCCTCGTCTCATGTTATTCCCTACCAACGAAATAATGAAATGGGAAGTGACGCGATGGAATTCTAGAGGGAACAAAATTTCAGTTGCACGCATCCCATAAATCATGTCTCTGGCTGTCTAAGTGAAGGGGGGGGGGGGGGGGGGGGGGGGGTTTCCCCTCGACTCTATGTTATAAGAAACCTAGTTTTTCTCTCGCTTTCAATCTCTGCAACATTCGGCAATGATTAAATATTGATTCTCTCCAGATGGAGGCTCTTTCTCCGAAAGAAGCTTATTATTATTTTACTAGTGTCTGACCGTCTGCCTCCTCTTGTCCTTCCTTTCTCGTCCCAAGACCCGATGAAGTATGATAGAGCTTACACGATAGAGCACGTCTAAGTATGGTGGATGATTCTCCTTCCGTCGTTCCGCTTTTCCCGAGGATCATCCTCGTGCCACGACTCAACGATCGATGAAGGGAAGCCCGAATTCCTTTGCAAACGTTATTGCAGTTTGATGATATGGCAACCTGCCTTCCTTGTGGAAACTGAATTTCCTTCCAGAATCGAGTGAGAGCAGCTTATTTCATCGTTGAGCACCCCCCCCAGTCTAACCGTCTCCCCTCGTGTGGGTTTTAAATCCACCCACTATCGACTCTTCGTTTAGTTCAGCGGTGGGGATCTCGCTTCTGGATAAGAGAGCTCAAAGTAATCTTTGACATGGTTGACGGGACCCAAAGACACTAAAGAGGGATGTGCGGTCTCAGGAAAAAAGTCACCCGGAAAATACCCTCGGAATTGGCAAAAGCAGAAGAAAGCCACCCAAGACGATAACGCAAAGTCACTGTGAAAACAGCAATCCGCCTAGGGTAAGCACCCCGGTTTCTGGCCGATCTCCAGTTGTTGGCCAGTGAGGCTCAAATCCAGGATAATTAGTTAATCTGGCCGTTTTTAAGCATTCTATCAACATCTTCCCGTACGAGGACCTATTACTAGTGTTTCCCGGTGTGCGCACAGGGTGTCCACAAATTATGAGAGTCGTATCAGCGTGGCCTAAAACAGGGGCTTCAGTGGCCAAAAACTGGGGTGTTTACCTCATATATATATATATAGGAGACGAAAGGCTCTTTGTGTTGTCTCACGAACGTCCTCCATTGATTTTCCCCCCTCTTCTTTAATATTTAAAGTATTGAAATAATCCAAATATTATTTTCTCTCCGAAATTTTGAATAACAATGTCATTAAAGTCGGAGTAAACACTATACTGACATTTCATTTCAGAATTAATTTTATTCATTGTAATTGCGTTTAAACCACGGATATGGTACATATCCGTGGTTTAAATTTATGGATAGTACAACACCCTGAGCATAAATCACGACAAAAAAAAGGAATTTAAAATTTTAATTCAAAGCACAAACGTCAGAATTGCTGGAAGGGAATACGCAAAATGCACAAAATCTAACTTTATTTTTTTTTTACCGAAATAGGAGAGCAAGCGCTTTCCAGCTTTCTGTGGTTTCGTCTCGGGTGGCTTTCCTTTTACGCCAAAACTAGGGGGGTTGTTTTCTGAACCCCAGCATGTGCACCTAGTAAAATACGATTAGCTGAAGTCAGGGTCGCTCAACATTCGGACCGCAAGCTTCCATTCTCCTGACTACAGACACCACCTGGTTTCGCGTCTATTTTCTCTACTTCCCTGCCTCTCCGCCTACATCCTCCCCAGTGGGAGTAATCGTTTTACTCCAGGCGAGCGGCAGGAGGGCTTAGGGGTGTTCCAACACCCCTCCCCCCTCCTCCCCCC